AGTACCTGGGATTGCCCTGGCCCAAGTGGCAATTGGCCTTGTTGAACCTCATTAGGTTCTCATGGACCCACTTCTCCAGCCTGTCCAGGTCCCTCTGGATGGCATCCCTTCCCTCTGTTGTATCAACTGCACCACTCAGCTTGATGTCCTCCGCAAATTTTGCTGAGGGTGCACTCGGTTCCCTCATCTATGTCGTTGATGAAGATGTTGAAGAGCACCGGTCCCAAGACAGAGCCTTGAGGGACACCACTTGTGACTGGCCTCCATCCAGACATAGAGCCGTTGACCACAACCCTTTGTCTGTGACCAGACAACCAATTCTTTATCCACTGAACAGTCCATTGTTCAAATCCATACCTCTCCAATTTAGAGAGAAGGATGTGGTGAGGGACCATGTCAAAGGCTTTGCAGAAGTCCAGGTAAATTACATCTGTTGCCCTTCCTTTGTCCACTGATGCCGTCGCTCCATCATAAAGGCCACCAGATTGGTCAGGCAAGATCTGCCTTTGGTGAAGCCATGCTGGCTGTCTTGGATCACCTCTTGGTCTCGTGTGTGTCTTAACATGGTGTTGAGGAGGATCTGTTCCATGATCTTCCCAGGCACAGAGGTGAGGCTGACTGGCCTGTAGTTTCCCGGGTCTTCTTTTCTCCCTTTCTTAAAAATAGGAGTAATGTCACCAGGGACTTCGCCCGACAGCCATGATTTTTCGAATATGACGGAGAGCGGCTTGGCAACCACATCAGCCAGCTCTTTCGGAACCCTGGGATGCATATCGTCTGGCCCCCATAGACTTGTATACGTTCAGTGTCATGAGGCGGTCTCGGACTTGTTCTGCTGTTCCAATGGGAGGGATTCCACTCCTCTCACCCTCACCTAGAGGTTCAGGGTCCTGACAAACATTGGAAGCCTGACCACCAGTGAAGACTGAGGCAAAGCACTTATTGAGTACCTCAGCTTTTGCCATGTCTGAGCGTGATGGGTTAGCCTTGGCTTTCCTGATCCTGTCTCTACACATCCGGACACAATATCTTTGATAACTAGCATCTGACTGGATATTTGTTGTGGCACAATTGTGCATAAGGTAAAATTAAAAACTGTTTTCAACATTGCCTGACTTGACACTTCTGGAGACAAAACAGTTTTTAATTGCTAACTGATAATCACAAAAGAAATCCTGGAGATTAAAAGTAATCCATCAGTGAATCAGAGAGACATCAGCAAAAACATGTTCTAGGCAAAAGGCAAACCAAGAAGATGCAGCAAGACTTACGTAGCAGAGTACGAACTGGCTCGTTTGCTCAGGAAGACAGAGTACAAATCCTTGCTTAGTCTGTGCAAAAGGATTTAATTTTTTCAGAATTTCATCTCTTGATGTTATTTTTTTTGATAGATGTGTTTTCATTTTTAAAGAGTGGCTGTAGGTCTCCTTTCACCTGGTAAAGTGTGTGTTTTGCTCAAACAGAATTTTATATTGAAGGTAAAATACTTTCTTAGCCTGCGTCACCACTCCTGTTCAAAATAGACAGTATAGCAATCTAAATTTTCATCAGCATTTCATTGTAGGCCTTAAGGACAGCTAACCACACACATTTTTAAATAAAGCAAAACCAAACAAAAAGTGAAGTCTCTAGGAAAATTGTTATTTCATTTGAAAATCTAATCTTTGAGATGGGGTACATTTTTACAGGCTTGTTTTAGAATATATTAAAGTGTAGGCAAGGGGTTTAGGAAGGCAGACTTTTTTCAGCTACGTTCCCGTAGCAGTTAGGTTATGAAAAACTCTAAAAGCCCAACATAATCTCTGTCAATTCTAATGTAAAGACTATGTAGGGTCCACTCCAATTTTTAGGGATTTTGAGTTTTAAATAGTTGATGATTTTTGTCTCACAGGTCGTTAAACAAATGTAGTTCTACTTTTGTTGGTATTTACATTTTGATTGTGTCAAACTGTGTTTAATTGTTTTTATTTTTCAGAAGTATCGCAGTGTGTCAGTGGGGGCTGAAGAATATATTTACGAACAAACGAGGTATGCCACAAGCTTTGAAATGTGTTGGCTGTCAGCAGAATGTATTGAGGAGGGGCTGCCTGTGTCCACTTCCCACCCTCATCGCCCTGGGGCTCCTGCAGGGCTCCCTTGATGCTGCCCAGCATCACTCTCCCCTTCTTCTCCTGTGCATGGTAGCTTTCATATCTGACTAGTTTTTATCTTCATCTATTATCTTCCCTCAACATTGTTTTCAGTTAGTAACTCCTCTGAAGCCCCCTGGAGATACGTGAGATTAAAACTGTTAAGAGGGATCTCCCAGGTAACAGGGCACAGTTCTGACAGCCAGGTCATGGAAAATCTTCCTGACCTTTCAGGATGACAAGATGCACAGGTCAGTTGTCCAGAATGGTTGAACTGGCTCCACCAACCTTGTGGAATTCTCATATTTTATTTTTCCCTTCTGTTTTTCTCTAGTTACTCCTAGTAAGTTTTCTGGGAAATGCTGTCTTTTTACACTGCTTGCTGTGGTACTTAATGTTTATCTATAAAATAATATAAATGAAGTATCTACTACAAACCATGTAAAAAGCCCAAGAATTCAAAATAAATTTTTAAAAAGTTTCAAAATTTGAAGTTTGGAAGGAATAGCGTCGTCCTTGCTAAGCACAGAAAAATGTGGGTGTCAAACAGGCAAACACTGCAGAGTCACTTTAACTAATAAAGACCGTGATCTGTAAAATTTATAAGCTGATGCTTCATTTCATGCTTTTAAATAGTTCTGTTTGTGTCTGAGAGATTACTCTCACTTTAGAAACAGGAACATGCCTACGTATTTTTCCTGGAGTAGGCATATGACTTCTTCTGTAATGGAGGTTCCTTACAGCTTGATCTTTTTTCTGAGGAATATTAAAACAGTGCAGTGAGCTCAGAACTGAGTCATTGTATAGGCAGTTCATATGAAACAGATATTTAGCAAAGACTGCTTGCTTACTACACTAGATATTTATAAAATTGAATCCTGAAGCATTGGCATCGTTAGCAATTTTCAGACATTAAGTCTTTCATGCTATGGCCCAGAGCATGCTAGAATGAAACCTGTAAATGTGCACTAAGAAAAATGAAATAAATCTTTCCTGGGAGTTACCTGGAAGTGATAGGTGCTCAGAAATGAAAGCTTCAGACTGAAAAAAAGAAGTGGTGAATATGAAAGTAGTTGGAAGCCTGATAGAAGATCTCTTAGTGACTACGTGGGGCTTTAGTTAAGAATCACGGTGAGATTCAGAATAGAATTATAATAATTTGAGTGACTGCAATAAGTTTTAAGGGTGATAGTAATCCTCCTGCTATAGGGCACGCTTTGATTGCCAGCTGGGAACAAGAAGAAAATTCCCAAGTGGTACCACACAGCAACTGAAAAATTGGCCAGGTGCAGTGTGTCTGGGTTTTACATTTTTTGATGTCTTTCTGAAACACACAGAATGCCAGGAAACAGAAGACCAGACTGTGGCAGACTGTAGGCAGCTATGTTAAGACACTGTATGTCTGACTTTGGCTCATCCTAAGCCCTTCTCAGCACGCGTCCTCGTTGGCCTGTCTGTCTGGTGGCGGGTTTTGAGGTGCATCTCCCTGGGCACTCGGCATGCGTTGGTGCACATCGTGCAGCAGTCTGGCAGCACACAGCCTGCGGTCCCTTTGTCAGACACTAGATCAGAGGATGTGTGCCCACTGCTGATGAGCCGTCAATCCCCAGGACAAGCATATGCAGTGGGACGGGTGCCGGATCCATAGCGCCACTGGTTCTGCTCTTCCAGTCTGTTTGAGCTGGGCTGGACTGCTTGCCAGCGTTGGCAGAGCCTCTGTTCCCCCTGCACACAGTCCCCTTCGTGCTGCCTTCCCATTGCACGTGAGAGCCTTCCTGTCGGCAGCAACTGCATTCTTGGGAAGTGTCAGTGGGTTCAATAGGTATAGGTTAGTGTTTGCTTTTTACATTAGTTTTGCTTTGATTTGTAACTTTTAAGCAACTTAGAAAAATGACTGGATTTTCATTTACAAGCTAAGAAACACTTAGAAATTGTCTTCATTTGATTGAATGATTGATACTAAACCAAATAATTGATACTAAACTGTTGGAAGCTGCGTCTTTTGGATAGAAAGACAGTGGATCAGGTTATTTTTTTCTTCTACCTTTTCTTCAAGTGAGGATTTAAGTGTTGTTATTATTATTCATGCATTTTAATTATTTTTTTCTCCATTGGATAGTTAAAAAATAGTTTTTGCCTTCCCCTTATTTCCATATTGCTGTGGCAGTGTTATGACGATGCAGAGCATTTGCTTGAACGAGAAAGTTAAGGATCCGCTGTTGTTTTGGACCAACATATTCATCCTTTTGGTTCTACTCCAGCACTGCTTAAATACTTTGCTGAATTAGGACCTTGGTGAAAATGCTTCCCCCGTAGCTTCAATTTGTGAGGACATTCTGCAAGTGACTCCTTGCATTAAGCTTCCTGTGGTGACCAAATGCAGTTTGAAGAGATTTATTCTGTAAGGCTAACATTATTTGTCGTTTAAGATAATGTGAGGAGCTGCAAGCATCATTTTTATTGTATTATTGTTCAAGCCCACTATTGCAGGAGGCAGCTGGAAGAGGCTCTGGGAGTTGTGTTCAGCTACCAGTTCACTAGTTAATGGAGCTTTAACTTTTTGTGGTTTGCAAACTGCTTTAAAGGTTGAAAGTTCTCCTGTGAAAAAGGATCTTTTCTAAAATCTGACTTGTAACACATGAGCAAACTCTCTTTTTCTCTAGCTTTTGTCTTTTTATAAGGGAGTTTACTTGATTGCAGATGCGAGTAATTGTAGGTACTTTGATTAATTTCGAAAAAAGAAGGCTTGTAAAAACCTTAATTGCATGTTGTCTTTACAAAACTGAACGTACTGTCCCTTCTGGTTGTATTCCTTCTCTGCCCTGTGCTGAAAGTAGCAGTTGAACTTTTACAACAAGTTTTACTCTGTTTTTTGTGGTTTTTTTTTTTTTTAATTTCTTTTAAATTTCTCTTTCTGTGACACTTCTAAGTTTAAATGTTTGTGGAGATAGCTGATTTCCTGCAATACTGAATTCCCTCCTGGTATTTGACACTCACTGTGGGGCATGTAGTCGTGTACTCCATGGTGGTTCTTTTCAGAGACAGTAAAGATGTAGTCTTTGATCCAAGAGATTTCCAGTCCAGATAGTTTTATGCTTGATTGGCAGATCTGATGAACTTGAAAAAAAGAAAATTGCATTTTTAAATACCTGTGTGACCTTCTCCTGGAATTTTATTAGCAGTTTCTTATGCCTTGCTTATGCAGTGCATGAAATACACAATAAATGGGACAAAGAGAGAAGGAGAAAGTGATATGGATTTTGTTGGTGTTTCTCTTCCTGTCTTTTCAGCAGCACTTTTCAGTATACGTTAGAAGCTACCAAATCTCTGCGTCAAAAGCAAGGGGAGGGGCCCATGACGTACCTGAACAAAGGACAGTTCTACGCCATCACCCTGAGCGAGACTGGTGACAACAAATGTTTCCGGCATCCCATCAGCAAAGTCAGGGTATAGTCCAATTTCTTTCCTAGATGGCAATGGAGCTCTGCAGATAAATGCAGTTGTGGTTGGTTGGATTTTAACTTTTTTTTTTCTTGTGGGAGCAGACAGAACAAGTTTACTCTTATGCCGAATGTAAAAGTGGGATAGTAATATTGATGGTGGTCTCAAGTATTTTGGTGTCCAGTTTTTTTCGAAATGTGATTTTATGAGTTAATTGTATACGTATCTGCCTCAGTTTATGGTTTGGCAGAATGGTAATTGCATTGCATTTGACATTGGTGAACTTATCATTGCCATGATTAAAGAAAAAATCAGCAAACTGCTACACCTACTGTGTAAGTCCATCTCCACTCACTTGTGCACTTCAGCAGCTGCTTTCCACTGCATTTCAGCTAAAATGTGAAGAGTTGAAGCCATCCTTTGTGGCATAAATTTTAGATCATTTACATCATGTAAGTGTGAGCTTTCACTTGATATTCACCCAAAAGTATAACAAAATGGATTTTTGTATCTTAGATTCTGTGGGTGAGACTGGTGCTTGGGTATTCAGCAACATCTGCCTGGTGAACAGGCCTCCTGATTTCCCTGGTAATGTTTTTGAGTAAGCAAATCCTAGCCCAGTAACCTTGGAATGAACAATGAGCCCCACAGTTGCTGCCCTGCAAATTTCACCCTGAAGCTGGAAGGGCTGCATATGTATGAGGCTGCAAAAGTGTTTCCATCCAAATAAATGACGTACCATAAAAATGTTATGACTGTACTCAAAGGAACCAATGAAAGTCAATATGAGCAGTGAAGGAGACAACAACCTATATGTTTCTACTATACATGAAGTTTAGAGAGGCTTTTCCTAAAGAGAGGCAATGATTTGTAAACCCGAATAGCAGGACACGAGGCTGATGATGGTGTTCCGTTGTTGCCTGAAACCGATGTGAGACTTCTCTGCTGCTGAAAAGTCTTTCTCCCTGCCAGCCACCCATTCTGTCCCCCTTGGTGGTGCCAGCTCTGGCACTGGTACAGCTGAAACAGGAGTCAGGAGCTCACTGCTCTGCCTGAAAGCCAGTCTTCCTAAATCTCGTTCACTGCGCAGCCACATGAGTTGTGGAGCTGTGTCAGCAGAAGGGTGGAAATCGTAAAGGAGAGATAAGACAATTTCTTTTGGAGGATGTAGTTTACAGAAGATTGTGAAACCACACACAACTTTCACGATCGTGTTCTGTTTGCCAGGCTGCCAAGCGACTGTTGAATTTATTGCCAATTCCATCCAAACCTGCCAGAGGGGCAAGAGGTTTTGAAGGTTTTAAACCTCTAAAAGTTCCATGTAAGTGGTTCATAGAGGGAGAAGATTAATGCTGTCCTTGGTGGAAAAGCTCCAGTCTGCACTGCCGGTCCTGGTTAGTGCATCAGCTGGCTGGCCAGGACACACCTGATGGCCAGCAGCCAGTATGCACGTGCGTGACACAGGACTCATCCACGGCGTATATTGCCTTGTGCCCATGCGGTGGCTAGATATGGACGATGGAGCAATGACGTTTGGCTTTTGTAGGTGGAACAGAGAAGGTCACAGAGCACATGAAGGGTTATTGTGGTGACTGTATAGAGGGACTTAAATCATGAATCAATCATAATCCAGCTCCTTGGCTTATGAGACGGCTTGATGGTGTTTTTTGAGCTTAGTGACTCAGAGTGAAAGGAAGAATGGAAACAAAAGAGGATATTTAAAAGTGAATTTTTTGTTCTCTGTGATTTCTTGTCACTTCAGTTTACCTAGTATGAGCATTCTTTCGTTGTTTTTTGTTTTGCTTGTCTACAGCAGGGCTTTTTAAAAAAGCCTTTATTACTCATGTGAAGTTTTGCGCAAAGTTTCAATGTGTTTCCTTTGGATCACACAATTTAACAAAGGGAATTCAGAACTTAAACTGAAAAGCTCAGCAAAACTCAGTAAATAGTCACACTGAGTTTGTCATTAAATACACACGTGCAAGAGTCCTGCTCCTGGGGAGGTTATTTGGACCGTGTATGCTAACACTGAAAATGTCCTGCCTTTAGCTGGTGAGCCTCAGCTCCATAACAACACATCCCTTTACACTGTAATGTCATCTTCCAGAGTGACAAGGAATCTGAACGCCAACACTTAGACTGGATATGGATCAGAATTGAAATTGAGGATCCTCTGACTTTGAAATGACCTCTTTTTACTTAAGGGAACTTAAACTTCTTAAATCTTAGATTTTATTTTGACTCTCAAGAACACAATCCTAGGCCCTGCATTATTTTAAAACTACCTTTCTTCTGCCCTGAGTCTTTATTTGCATTGCAGTATTGGACTGGAATAAAACCCAGCAATCTTCTGCAACCAAAGTACTGGGGGAGGGCAGTGACTGGATCAGCATTAGAGGCATATGGGAAATTTTAATTTTGTGTTTCTGACTAATAATTGTATTAACTAATGCAACTTCTGCTGTTGATTTTCTTAGAGCGTTGTCATGGTTGTTTTCAGTGAGGATAAAAACAGAGACGAACAGCTGAAATACTGGAAATACTGGCATTCTCGGCAGCACACAGCTAAACAGAGGGTCCTTGACATTGGTGAGTATAAGAGGATCTGCAGAGTTTTCAGGGAAGATTGTGGAATGTGGAAAGCTTTGGTACCTTGCACAGGGATGTGGTGGAATATAAATTGGCAATGGCTGCAAGGCTTGTACCACGGTGTTTAGCAGTGTCTCGGCCCTGCTAGGACTGGGCTATGGAGTCTGAAGCAGGGTGGAGACGATGCGGAAGGGATGGTCCTCAGTAGTCACAAAGAAGAGCTGCCCCTTGCATGTGTATTTATTGGTGTTCCACCTTCTGCTGCTGGAAAGTCAAGGTCTGCATCTCCTCAGGAGTGGGAGAATGTTTGTTTCCTTTAGTTTTTCAAAGGCTGATCTGCTCTTTGATCCAGTAACAGTAGCAAGCCCACATAACAGTTATGTTAGCTCATCTGATGTGTAAGTGCAGCCGGAGAGTGAAGATGCCATCGTGACGGTGACTGCAAAGGAGCACACAGGACTCCTACGAGACTTATTTACCCTTCATCCCCTCTAAGGTATTTACAAGCCCATTTCAGTCACAACTGCCCTGTTCGCATGCTTGGGAGATTTTAGCAGAGGATGAACACGAACACGTACCTGCTGCCAAGGAGCCTGAAGTTGAAATCTGTGGGAGTGTCTAGACATCAAGCACTTCTCCCCTCCTACGTGCAGTTTACACATGCAGCCATCTGCAGCGGATTTCAGTCAAAGGAGGATTCCAGTCAAAGGAGTCTGCGAGACCAAAGCAGACAAAGTCTATCTTGTTTTAACCGCCTGAGGGAACCAAACCATTGAATGGCAGGAATGAGAGGGGGCAGAGAGGAGGGGGGAAAAAAAGCAGGGTTACTTGGAGAGAGCACTGCAAGTCTTCAGGGTTGATTGAACAGGATGATCAGGGAATTGGTCCTACTCATGCAGTGCTGCAGCCTCCTCTGAGGCTGGTCTTATTTAAAGTCAAGTGTATTTGGTCAAAGCAGCTCTTCCTGAATCTCTTCTCTGCCTCTTGTCTTATCAACATAGTTCTGGCTGAACTGTTTCTCCAACTCTTTTTTTTTTTTTTTGTGTGTGCGTCCTTTGTGTTGGTTAAGGCAGTAAAACCTCTACCCCAGACCACACGACTCCTATCATGACACGTTAAAAGAGCAAGTATGCCTCTTCACAGCTATTTCTGAAGGCTGCCTGGTTTTTTGTGCTAGTTCCTACAAGCTTGCAGTGCTAATGCTCATACCTTCGAAGGTATGTGCTGAGGAGCTTGTTCTGCTGCAGTGCCAACACCCTCTGACTCCACCGCACTGGTGGTGTACCAACACATTTCAGTCCCCTTACCTGAACGAGTCAGCTTATGATGAATGTTCTGTGTTGTGCTCTGCAAAACGAGTGCTGTGCATGAGCTCTGTGTTTACCTATGTTAAGGTGAGTGTCTTTTATGTTTCCATTAGTTTGAGATGAAATAGGCCTGTGCTGGCTTTTGAGGCACCCCGGCACGTATACTTTATTTGGACTGCAAACATGAGCAAAACCCAGTGTAGTAAGACTTAGTGATACAGCGCTCCCTGTCAGACTTCAGAACTGTAAGAGCACAGTTCACCTCAGCGTTTTCAGAAGAAAGACCCAGGTGTTGCTCAGTAGTGTTTTCTTGAGAACAATTGAAATATGGCCTTAGCTCTTCCCAAGCACAGCGTTTCTGAAGTACACTTCATTTTCTTTGGGACTTACATAACGTATATTTGGCTTATTAGGGCAGAATGGCTCCCAACTACATTTCCAATACAAGCAGCAAGCTGCATTTAGCAAAATCTGCCAATTTTATCATCAGATGATCTAACTGAACAACTTCATCCGAACAGTTGGCCCTGCACTGAGTGGGAGTCGGGTAGGAGTTGAACCAGATAACCTCCAGAGGTCCCTTCAAGCTAAAATATTGTGTTGCTCTATGAAGATTGCCCTTTATTTTAAAAATTCAGGTGCTCGAAGGAATACTGAGTTAGCATCCAGGCCCTGTGTAGTTAACAGAGAGAATTAGGTGTCTGTGAGGGAGATTAGGAAATGCCACGGAGAGCCATTTAAACAGGCAATGAGAAAAGCTTGCTGTGGACAGGGGTGTGTATCAGATTTGTCCCATCTTCAGGGGAGGGTCTGGCAATCTGCTGGTAGCCCCACTTCTCTTTTATTTTGGATTTCACTCCAACTATCAACAATATATAAAGAGTTAATCGTGTATTAGACTCCTTAAACTACCTGTGAATAGGCACAAATCTGTATAACCTGTTCTATAGATGTTTATAGCCATTAATATTATTTTAACTTCATGTTTGTAGCATATGTTTAACATCTGTGAATCCTTTTTAATTGTTGATGGATACACTTTTAATCTAGAGCATGACCTGGTCCTTAGCAGGTTGAGGATCAAATGAATTTGGGATGGTTTAGTTCTGGGGTCCAGCTGGTCAATCCTCACGCAGCAGTGACAACTCTGTGCTGCTTTCCCCAAGGGCACAGGTGTGTCTGTCTGCCTTCTGGCCTGCAGTTACATTCTGGAGATCAGAGGAAACGAGTGACTTGGTCCCTCACTCCAGACGTGCAGGGGTCACTGCTTTAATTGGTTTTGTGTACTGGCTGATGCACCTCCTGGGGAGAAGGATGGCTGAATGGATTACAGGCAGTACTGGGTCTGAAGATGCATTTATATGAGTAGGATAAGCATGTACTTACATGTAAGCAGGTCCTTAGTGCTTGAGGAATAAACCTGAGGATTTGACACTTATTAAGGAAGAAGGAAAGGTGTTTTCCAGAATTTATTCTATATGCTGTCATGGATTTTTCTGAAGAAGGAGGGAGGCACTTTCACTGCAGGAAAAAAAAAAAAAAAGCAAACTGACTTTTCCACAGTGCTGTGACATTGGATCACTAGCTTTTTCTTTTAAAATAGTGTCAAATAAAAAATGCAATGCAAGATTGCAGCAAGTACTGATTACTTAGAATCAGTACCATAACTTGACAAACACTGGAACAGTTTCAAACATGGACATGAAGAGTGGGTGTGGAAGCTTTAGATTGGGTTTATATGTGCTCCAGAGTCTTGCCCATATATTTTTTGCAGGATAGTTTATTATTTATGTGCACAATACAGGAACTACTACAATGGTATGTAATGCATGCAAATTATTAATATTTAATGTTGAAATTTGCTGTTGTTTAATATACATTTTATCCAACAAAAGAGGAAATAATTCCTGTAGAGCTGTCTTGCATATACAAGAACCCCAATTTTCTATTTCTGGTAAGTCACCCCAGCAAAAGAGGAAAAATTGTAGTCACACTATCAACTTTCAAATATCCTTGGATGTAAATGCTTTCTTAATCTACCGAGGGTCCTTCTTTAATTATCTGTAAATTGAGGGGAATAGGATTCACTTCTGCTTTTAAACAGCATGTCACATCGACACTCCATGAGATTTGTGTATGGCAATTAAGGAAGCAGAGGCATGTGTTGGGGGAAGGGTTGGTGGGATGTGAGGTTCTGACAGCCTTTTAGGAGAGGAAAACATGTGTCTTTACAAGACATCTTGTTCATGTCTTTCCAAAGTGCACCTACACAGCACGCCCATATGCAGCAGTCGCACGAGGCACTTTCTGGTGAATCATAAATTTCAGGGGGGGAGTGGATGTGTGCACATGCATATTAAACTACTTATGTGTCTTCTAATTCCTCTCATTTGCATTCCCACACTGAATTTAGGTAGTGAAGCCAATGACTTCAGTTAGAAAGGAGATCTGAGTTCATGATGGGAATGAAAAACCTGCCCACCCTCTTGAAAACCATGTTCACTTGCTGCATCATCCAATAACTTCTGCTGTTCCTGTGGACAGAACAGTGAATTTATCCCATATCCAAAATCATTCATGGATCCCAGGCACACAGTTTCACTTGCCCAGAGAAATGCCAGCATCCCTGCATTTCAGATGAGAGAAAAGTATACTGATTGCATGTCTCAAATATTAAATAATCTACCTCACAGCAATGGGTTTGTTCTAAATGATTTTAAAGCAGCTATTACCTAGAAATTATTTTTTAGAGACCAACAATTTATTTTTAGAAGGGCAAACGAAATTAATATTGAAACCATTTGGGTGTCTTATTTATAGAATACAAAAACATCCTCTTTCTATAACTGATTACGAAGCTAAGAATCAGTGTGCTTCTGAAGCGCAGCTTTGGGCAAGCGTAGGATCAGGCTTGCTGCAGGACATCATCTCAGCCCTCTGGCACCGAGTCCAATTACAGCCATTACAGCCCTGGAGGGATTCTAAGGAAATGTATAAGACGGAGAGAGAGTTGATGCATTTGCATGAAGAATCTGGATGTTCCTTTAATCAAGCAGATGTTCCCTCCTTGCAAACCTGGTCTTTCTTTTAATCTGTCATCCAAAAGAAGAAAGTGTGTTAAGCTGGCTGTCAAAGGGAGAGACAAAGGGGGTTTATTCCTCTTTTTAATTTTAAAGAAAACCTGGAAGTTGTCTGGTTTTCCACCTTACTGTTTTTGGTGAGGGTGGGGTGAGTGGGTCATCTTTGAAATGTGGACTTCCTCCCTCTTGCTTTGCACCCCTCCTGAAAGGCTAGCTTATTGATTATATTAACAGCCCTTTAGAAAGAAGTGAGATGAGGGTGCAGGTTTTGTAGTCAGACAGTTTAAAAATCCTTTACGTTTGTTTGCTATTTTAGTATCATACACACTTTGGAGAAAGGATCTTTGTGGTTTGGTTCTTTGTTTTATGGGGGGGGGGGGGGGTTTTGTGGGTTTTGGTTTGGTTTTTTTTTTAATTTATTTTTTTATTTTTAATAGAGATCCAGCATCCAGTGCAGTAATTCCTGGGAACATTGAAATGGCTGGGCAAGGAATGTACATTACTGATTATTTCCTCCAATGGTGGCTCTTAGCTTTTTAGAAAGCTTCTTTAGGTTTTACCATAATGTTGTTTATTTATGTCAAGGTTTGAACAGTCCCTTTCAATATTTCAGTAGCTTTTAATTAATTTTCCAGTTTTGGCCATTCCTTGGTTAAGCTAATGAATGCACCCCCTCATTCCTACTACAGTCGTACTGATTCCTTTTTGAGAGCAAGCAATATTTTGCAAGAATGTTAGCTACTGATGTGCTATGCATAAAACTCAAGATGCAGTATATTGCCTCATTGCAATTAAGCTTATTAATAATTTAACATAATACAAGAGGTAGTTTTGATGCATTAGACAACCCAGCTGAAAAAGCAAAGGTGTACTGTGAACTGTAAAAGAGAAAGTTCAAACTTTTTTTCATGAGTTTTTTTTTTGTTTGTTATTTTTTACAGCTGATTACAAGGAGAGTTTTAATACAATTGGGAATATTGAAGAAATTGCGTTCAATGCTGTGTCCTTTACTTGGGATGTCAATGAGGAGGCAAAGGTGAGCAAAAGCCATGCAGATGGTACCATCCATCCTTAGTCTGTCTTCCACTTCTTTGCTTTTTAACAAATAATGAGAAGGGTAGGTGGAGGTGAGAGAGTCTCTGCAAAGCCAGGCAAACAGTGGTCTTTCACTGACCCCAGGGATTCTGGCTGTCATAAAAGGCAAGACAGTATGTAATAGCTGTCGGAATGATATTGTGTTCACGCCTGTATCACTGACAGACAGAGATGGAGTTCTGAGGAAAAGCTGCAGGGCTCTTACAGTGTGGTTTCTTACCTGTGGCCTCTCTGTGATTTTCCATTTAAAATATGGCCAGCCTGTGAAACAGTAAAAGTTTTTTTCCTACTTGCAAAGTTAGTATAAGACACAAAGTGAATGTTTTCTTTCTCTAAATTATCAATGTCCTTTCTACACTGTTAACATCTCCAATAATTAATATTCTGTAAGCTAAACTAGGCCTTCTCTTGTGTTTGTGCCATTATTTTTTATAGTGTTACAGACACTGTCCTTGCAATTAGGAATGAATGTATTGTTTTTCAGGACTGACTGCTGCATTCTATCTTTTTTTTTTTTTTTTTTTTTAAGTGGCCGAGTACCCTCAGACCTGGGGTTTTGTATTTGGGGATGTGACTGCTACAGTGGACCTATAAATCAGGACAGCAGAGCACCTTAAGTTTTTTATAGATAAGGTTACCCAAAGGGTGGCAGAGTGTTTCAGCTGCACGGACTAGTATAGGAGAAGTGAAAAGCTGCTGGTAATTATAAGAAGAAGTTGGCCCCCAGAAAGCAAACAACAAGGGAAAAATAGGCTGAGTAAAATGAATGTGGGTAATGCAGGACTCTTGGAGATGTAGAAATAATAAACAGCAAACACTGTTGAGCTTAGCAAAGTCCTTGATACTGTGTTAATGTTGAGTACAAAGTGCCCAATGTTCAAGTAGTGCTCTTCACGCACGATTCCCACTGCATTTCTTCTAACAGAGCGTTAGAGAGATTGCATTGAGCGAGTGAGTCCTGGGAGAGCACTGAGCACAGGGCAGTAGCACTAACACTCACTGTCCTGACTTGTTGACTGAAGGTGCTGAGGTTTGTAGTAACAGGGATTTTCATCTCTGGTGCATGTTTTAAAAGAATAGTGCAGTAAAGACAAGACAATAGTTCTGAAAACTGCCTGGCTCTTTCAAAAGCTGGCCTTGGTAAACAGGATTGTGCTTGGCCCAGTTGCTAATGATGCTGTGTTTACTCGTGTAATGATTACATTCTCACCACCCCAGATATTCCCCTGTTATGTGATTCCATTTCAAAATACTGCGGTATGTTGTCCTCTGCAGTCACAACAGATGACTGTTGTGTGTATGTGATCATTATGCAAGCAAATACAGATTTGGGATGTCCAACGCTCCGGACTTCCCCAAGGACTTTTACAGAAGCACTACTGGAGCTAGAACGTGGCAGACTCATCCCACCAGCAACTACCATCCTCACTGCCAGGGCTGGCAGTTCTTTAACACACTTGTGTTTGCAGCTGCAATCCAGACTTAGCAAGACACCATGTTGATCTAGGAGCAAGAAAGTCACATACACTAATGTCAGGTGTTATCCTGGGCTGTTTTGTTTTAACCTCACACCATTCATGTTGCTCCTGCCTTGGGTGCCAGAACACGAAGAACACAACTCCTGCAATGGTCACCAGCAGTACAACACAGTAGGATTTTAAAATAATGGCTCTCTTATTGTTGCTGGATTAGAAAGGTGTCAGGAGTGAAATTTAAGAAAGGCCCTTGTATTTCTGCAGGGAGTAGTCATTAAAATGCAAATTGGCTTATGTGTATTTATTTTGGGGGGTAGTTATCAAATATCTGATCTTTTACGAGCTTGAACTGCAAATGTATTGACAAAAGTAAGAGGATTCATAACATGTTTGGTATTGGGCTATCAAGCATAAATCAGGTTGTACCTGTAAGCTTATCACTGTGCACTGAAGTGTTTCCTTCCCCGCACACGTGCACATGTACCCACATGCTTGCTCTTGTTGGAGAGTCTAATACAATAACCGGTTTCACTGGGGCTGGGGATTCCCATAGGATGCCCCTGCAGTATTCGAAAGCTGTGGACTCAGAGGCACATCACTGAAGGCTGTTTTTTCTCCAGCAATTACCTCATCCAAGAAAGATTAAGAATTTCAAGGGCTAATTACAGACTTTCTTTTCTTAAGCTTTTTGAATGATGATCTTTAAACTGGCTCCATTGTTTCTGCTCTGTGTTGTTTTCCCTTTTCACCACAGTTTCAAGATTAAAACTTAACCTCACAGGCACAAAGACCTTTCTCTTCTGAGTCAGTCAAAAGTGGCACAGAGCAGTTCTTTCCAGGGCCTCTGAGATGTGATGAAGTGCTCTGCTGGCCCAGGCAGGAATAAAGAAAACAGATGGGTTGTTGGAAATGCACAAGGAAGTAGTCTTGAAAAAATGAAACAGAAGCAGCAGAAATCACCTAACCAAATATCCCTGTCTCTCCTGAGAGACTGAACCTGTGGCTAGGAAGACTTACCTGGAGCATCAGATTTCTCACTTTTCCTACTCCACCTGGAGGGCAGCTGGTTTAAAGCCAAATTCCTCCTCCCACACTCAAGCAGAGCAGTACCCTCCTCCTGGAAGCCCTTCAGGATGGGAGTTTGACAGCGCAGGTGTGACAGCCAGAATCTCCCCGTTAACAGCGAGTCTGCTATAAGGGTTCGTAAGGCAGCATCACGGCTGGATCTTACATGGAAGAAACAGGCAGAGCGTACAGGCAGGGGCCTCTCTGTCGCCTCAGGAACGTGAAGGGAACTGGAGTGTTGGCTCCAGCTCCTTGTGCTCAGTCCCTCTTCTTCCGACTGCTGCTGGGCCAAGCAGGTCAGTGGAAGAGGGAACTTTGTACAGCACGTGTTGAGCTGGGGAATAGTCTCACCGTTGCTTTCTGTGGACCAGTGTCAGAAACACCACTCCACTAGCGTTTCCTCTGCTGTATATGAAATCAGCCAACAGCAGTCCCCTTTCCTTCTGGCAGCAGAGCTGGGGCCCAGCACATCCTTACCTTTCTCTAGAACAACATCCTGTTCTGCTGGGGCTCTTGTCTAGAGGCCACTGTGGGGCTGGTGGTTCAGGGGAAGGAGGGGAAGGGTCTACAGCCATGTCAAACTCTTCCTTATGGTTCCTTGAGATGGAAGTACTTTGCAGTAAGGAAGCAAAGGTAGGAAGTGAAGAACACTTTTTGTACAGTCCATCTTTGTTTCACTCCCATATTTACTTCTATATTTAAATATGCAGCATTTATGGGCAGGGTGATTTGTTGGTTCTCTTTGGTTGAACCTGAATGCTATGTTTGGTATTTTTAAAGGAGTTCTTTAAAAAAAGATGAGGAAACAAACAACAGTTAACAAGAACTAGCTGACTTTTTAACCAGCTTTTAAAAATCTTTTTATGATATACTAGAAGGCAGTTAGTTGCTTTGCTGTTGTTCTCTGGAAGATTTTGCTGCAGCGTCTGGCTGGTTGACAAAATTCTAGTGGAAGCTTTTGAACAGAGAACTCAGCGTCATTTTTGATGGACATAATCTGCCTATTTGCAGTCTTACTGCTGACAGAAATTAGTTGCAAGAAAGATAATTGAGAACCAGAACTCTCTTGGTCAAAGGAGAGTATATGTGTCATAAATCATACCAACTCTTTGAGATATGCCTTCTCTCTGATAAATACTTCGCTAATTTAAAATGGGGAGGATGATGTTACCTCTGAAACATACATTACTTGTATATTTGTGTGGAAAGTACTTTCTAAGCTAAAATTCAAAGGTGTGACTTCAGTGAACAGACAAAAAATACTTTTCAGTGATATCAAGAAACTGCCGATTTCTGCAAAGCGCTGGAACTTGGACATGCGGTAAACAGCCATGTTGACGGATACGTTATTCAGACAGGTGCTGGCAGATGCTTTTGGTGTATACAGTGGTTGTGTGCTGTCCAGTTGTTGTGTATACTTGCGTGCGATCATTGTCCTGCTTTATTTAACTGAAATGTAGATCTTTAATCCAAAGCATGCTGAAGCCTCTGGGAACCTTTCCAGTTCTTTAATGAGTTTTAGTATAGCCCTTACAGTAATAAGCTGTGTTTTCAATGAGTGAGTGATTTGTGGGCTGAAGTGAGCTATGGTTCCAGTGGGCACAACTGTAAAATTGAGCTGATAGAGCAGCACAGCCTATCAGTGATTTGTATTGTGGCAATCTATATTTCTTTAACATTACTAGCAATACTTAGGACAAGCTTTGACTAGTGGAAGAATGATTTTGTTCTTAATTATTAATTTCCTTCCTTGCTTAGATCAAATTTCATTTCATTAGGGAGGAAATTAATATTTTCTCTACTGTCAAAATTTAAAGGTTGGAGGAAGAGACTTTATTTGGGGGAAACAGTAACAGAAATTATGTAGAATTAGACTTGGCAAGTGGTTTAATAAACCATATCTGTGTGTGTATGCTTGCATATATATTTTTTAATATATATTTGTCATGCATGCACGCACACACATATATATTAAAGAAGAGTTAATCTGTGGTAGCAAATAGTGTTGAAATTTCCGTGTATACAAATGGTTCAGTAAGTATGCATCTGGGATTCAAGGCAAATAGCATTTTTATGTAGTTGCTGGGGTGTGGTGTGGGTTGAGGAAGCTTCAAAAGAGTAGTGTAAACATTTGATGGAGACATTGGTATTGAAATAAAACAAAGGTCTTACCTTTGTATGGGATTTATAAGGTAACGGCTGGCAGAAGAAACTATAAAACCACACTTTCTGTATATATGAGGAGTGATGCGATTGATGTTAGTTATTTAAGAGACAGGTCATTTAACTCTTTGTTGTTATGGTCTGGAGGGATGAACCCTTTTAAACAGGATTTTGTAAAGACCCATCACCCAGATGTAGGTTCTATATATTGCCAGTAGTCAGTAAAGAAATTGCTTTAAGTTTCTGATTTTGTGTTATAACACACTCTTCCCTCCCTTCTGCCCTTGGCTCTTTCTGAGACGATGGGAGCCAGAAATGTAAATAGTAATAAAAGGCTTATATTAGAGGTTTCGTAACTGTAGACCTTTAAAGTGTACGAGCTGAGAGACTGCAGCAGGAGTCATGTTGGCTGGATTAAATGATAAAAGGGGAAATGCATTTCTGAGCCTTGCTTTCTCTTAAGGCAGGTTACTGTGTTTGTGTCTTCTGTATCACTAATTATGCTGCAGTGTTTAACAAACAGTCAGTAATTCACATAATAACAGCTACACTGTGGAGGAGCGCCTTCCCTGAAAGAGAGTCCTTTTTCTAGACATGCTTTATAACAAACAGAAGAGTTGTCGTTATCTTAGGCCACTTTTGAAGCTTTCTCAGGCACCAAATGTTTTTCCAAATTAGTTTTTCATTGCCAATGGCATGCCTGAGCTAGAGAGTACATGGGTGGAACTCTATCATTAATTGCTCTAATCTAAAATATGCTGACATTAAAAAAAAAAAAAGACATCACTATAACGACAACCTAAACTTGTTCCTGATAGCAAAACATTGCTAAAATCTAGTTTGCACAGGAAAAAAAAGTTTGTAAATGAATTCAGGTACAGCCATAGTCACATCAATTAAAATAGTTCTAAGTCGAGTGTAGACAGGGCTCTAGGGGAAAAAAAGCAGTGATTTCTACCTGTGCTACTGTCATTCTAACTCTGCCATGCGAGAGACCAGAGCAAGGAAGCTCTTAAACCAGACTGTCCTCCAAGAGAGGCAGAATGGGACTTCATCTTTTTGAGCCTGCCCCAGGGTTGTTTTGCTCCTCGTCTCTTTGAGAGTCGGAGTTCATCTACTTGTGGACAGGAGCTGCAGAGGAGGGAGAGATGAGGGCTGTGAAGGGCAAAGCAGGCCCTGCTTGCAGAGGCAGGTGGAATCAGAGCAGGCAGCATTCCTTGGCCGCTGCCTTGGGGAGGCAAAGGTTTCTGGACAGGGCAGGGGCAGAGAGAGGGTTCCCTGGGTCCTGTTCACTGCAACAGCCTGCTGCACCCCAGTGTTAAAACTGGTGCAAATCTTCAGTCATGCAAAGAGAAAAAAACCCCCTAAAATCAACTCAAGTTACAGAACTTATGTCCTCTTCCCCCTTCCTCTGCACCCTCCGGTGTTTCCGAAATCCAAAGTCAGTGTTGTGCTCTAAAAGAAAGCTAATAGAAGATTGTGTGGGGACAGAAAAATTTTCCAAAAATAAATTATCTGTGTTAATTCGAATCCATCTGTCTATCCATGAAGTGCAAATGATATGACAGAAAGTGTAGTACACTTCGTGCGCTAGAACGTACAGTCATTGCTCCTCAGAGAGATCCTGATGTATTATAGTGTCAGGATAAGGATATTGAATCTTGCAGCATCAATCTATTATTCATGCTGAATAATCTGTTATTGCTGTGTGGAGACTCTTAAAACGATAAAGTCTGCCTTCCCCAGCCACTACTCTGCTCAGTGTTTCTGGAGGCAGTGGAAGAGGTGACACACAGTGCATGTAGTTGATTAAGGTGGGACAATGTCTTTTTTTACTTCTCAGCTGAGTGTGCAGCGAAGGTGGGAGATGCGCAAACTGCTGCGTAGATGCAAAGCCTGCACGTCCCCTCTCACATTTTAAAGCACAGTCTAGAAAATCCCTGTGCAGAAGTATGGGATAAAATATAGTGAAACCAGATTCTGTTTTGTGCCGGACCTTGTTCCACTGCTCTGTGTTCACACACACTTTAAAGCATTGCCCTGACACGGTGAAGGAGTCTGAAGGCACATGAAAATTCAGGCTGTCATATTTCAGAGGCATATGCACTTGCATCCACGCTTACCTTTGGAGCTGGAGGAGAGGTAATGTGAAACAGAAATAACACTATCAGCTTCAAAATCAGAGTTTCACCTAGGGCCCTTCCCCACCTCCCTCCTCTCCCCACAGTTAAAGTTCAACTATTTCATTTGTAAATGCATCTCTGTGATACAATCAGAAGCAGAAATGTGGAGGTGCCATTAGCTCAGTCAGGCAAACAAGCTGTTCTGGCTCCCTCGTAAAAACCTGACTGTAATGTACCTTCTGCCATTAGGGCAAATATCCCCCCACCAGCCTTACCGGAGCCCTTCTTTATTCTCAGCTGCCTTTCTCTTAGGGCTGTTAGTGTTCTGGTCACTCAAACTGTGTTTTTTTCTTGTTTTTTTCTTTTTTTTTTTTTTTTTCTTTCCCCTGCTTGTGGACTGGGGAGGGATTCCTTCCTGCTCTCCCTTCCTGGATCCACCCAGACACCAGGGGCCCGTTGGCCTCTCCTCTGCCTGGTGAGGCGAGCATCAGGTCTGTTTGAGAGACCCTGCAGATCTCTTCCTTTCTGAGTGTGCTCATTCTTCTGGAGCAGCTTTCACATCCTCCTGGTTCAGCA